GGGGATGCTCGAAGTAGATAATTCTAGTCCTTATTTAGGGACCGCCAACAAGGTACTCCTGATATTGAGACGCGCCCATATGGTAGTTGTTCAAAATACCTGTCCCCAAAAAGGCCATAGTGTAGGTTCCCTGTTTGGTTAGGATCCCCGTTTAAGGAAGTGTATTCCCAATGGTCCCTTTAGGACAGACCCCATATTTCCAAATCCCTAAACCCTAAGCCCTAAACCCTAATCCCTAAACCCTAAACCCATATTTCCAAAGAGGACATGAAGAAGGCGGAGCTTGAGAAGAGGCAAGTCGAGGTTCGGCTGAAGCAGCTGGACGCTGGGTCGCGCTTGGAATTGTATTTGTTGATTTGGGGGGTTAGGACTTAGGGTGTAGGATTTAGGGTTTAGGACTTAGGGTGTAGGATTTAGGGTTTAGGACTTAGAGTGTAGGATTTAGGGTTTAGGATTTAGGGTTTAGGGTCTAGAATTTAGGGTTTCGAGCTTTGGCCTTAGGTTCAGGAGTATTTTAGATGTAAGGTTTTAGGTCAAGGCTTTTAGAGCTTAGGCTGAAAAACCCCAACCCCATCCCAAAAGCTAAAAGTGTTCACCACTGTATGTAGGCCGGGAGTATTCCATGTTGGGCTGGGTCCGGCTCGGGAAGGCCAACTCAAGGGTTTCACGCTTGTACCCCTAGGGTTGTTCCCTGGGTTTGGGGATCCTTCTAAGGGACCCTAGAAAACTGCATTGGCTCATATAAGGGCTATATTAGGGCTGTGTTGGGGAGACATTTTAGGGGTACGACCTTAGGGGTACAACCCTGGAACCCTTGAACTCATGCTTAGTTGAGAATGCGGGAGTGGGTGATTGGTATCATGATGGGAAGGAGAGAGAGGCTAATATGGGTTCCTACCCATTCCCAACTATGCATGGGCATTTTTTTCGGATTCAATGTTTTCAGATCTATGGTGTGGGGTTTGAAAAGTCTCTAGAGGCTTAAGGTTTGGGGTTTCAGGGATCTAAGAGTTGGAAATGCAAGATTTGTTGAGATCTCAGGGCTTTGATTTCCTGAGGCTTCAGAGCTTGGGCTCTGCAAAGTTTGTTTTTTTTCAGTGGGGCACTCCGGATCTTGAAGGATTTCTTTGGGGGTTTAGGGGCTCCAAGGGGTTTTTTGGCGCTTTAGGGTTCGGGACTCTGGGTATGCTGAGGTTGGCTTTAGGGGTTACACTCCCCCAAACTAACATGGAAACCCATATAGCCCCGTTTTAGAGGGACTGTAGTCTTTATAGGGCCCCTTTTGGGTTTCCATGTTAGTTTCCAGGAGTGTAGGGTTTAGCCCCAAGGATGCACTACCTGGCCTTTGGGTTCCTGAAATATTTTCCCTTATTGGTCTTATAGGGATCCACCTATACTTGTATTTTTCAAGGGTCTCTAAAGGCCAAGCAAGTCTAGGTCAACCTAAGACATCCTTGATGTTTTAGTGACTATGAGCTTCCTTATCTACATGCAAAGAACTATCCCAAACGAGTCTGTTTCTTGGTAGGGTGATATGGGCAAGGCTTTAGTGATGTGAGGAACTTCCTAAAAAGTTCATCCACTTCTGCGTAGGGGTTGCCCTAAGGAAAGGAGCTTGATTAGTTAGGAAAGACCCATCCCAAACTGCAGGCTCATTGGTAGTTACATAGGGGGTTAAAATTAGAACAACTTCAGTGATACAAGTTATAACAGTGTTGGGGGTATATATATATATATATACAGCCCGGCTCATAAGTACCCATGGACCTCCAAGCACCCTTAAATTCGCGTACCGGACAAAATTGGGTTTGTTTATCCTTGCAACAACCCAGTTAGAGGTGAACCGGAGTGGTGATATTGAGTGCATTGGGATTCAAATAGAGCCAGAACTAGGGCCTTGAGGCTCAAGGGTTTTTCGGTCAAATTCAGCTTTCTTAGACTCGGCAGTCTCTTTACGTGGGGTACAAGATGCAAGCTGAGGACAAGGGCGTGCAGAGGAAGGGCGAGCTTCTTGACCGACAACTTTAAACCAATCCAATCTGCGGCATCATTATGGAAGCTTGTAGCCCCCAAGCTTTGGCCTGCTCCGGATGAATTTGTTGTCTGGCTTCAACCCCAGGCATCTCTCCCCCCCTTCGGCTTCGTCCAACCTCTTTTTCTGGACATTCGGCATGACTCAAAGAGCACTAGCAGACTGCAAGACAATAGGTCCACGTCACACTCTCGGCCGCGGACCCCACCCGCAAGTTGAGGATACCACCTTATGCCCTTCCCTTACACTGGTGCTTGTATAATCACCCCTAGAGTAATGGTACGTTTATTCACACCCCCACTCCCCTTAAGCACCAGTAGGTTCCTGTTTGTGAGACTGATGGCAGTAAAGGCCATGTCTGAAGATTCTGTTGATAAAAACATCTTGTATACCAATATTCCATGATTCACAGGGTAGGAGGTACTTAGGGTCATGCAGGATTTTTGTATCCTCCGTGCTGGCCACCATCTGGACAGTTTCGAAAAAAGGGCCGGGGGGGCCTTCATGATCGCAGGTATATGAAGTTGCAGAGGCATACAGGGTTTGTTTTTAGAAGCTCCCCTATGAAACAAATGTTCAGAAGTCGAGCCACTTGGAGGTGAGAATGGGGTAGGTTATCAGGACTTTTGTTTTTGCGTTACCTTCTGGTCTGGGTGGCAGGGCCGTCCAGCATGTCACAGGGCCCCCATTTGCGAATGAAGACGAGAGTGGACCCCCTTTTTGGTTGAACAAATCCATGGTGCCAAGCTGCTTTGAATCCACGAGCGCCCCTATGCCCATAAAACTCTGTAGAGCTGCACTCCCCATAATCCCTACTGTACTATCCTCTCCAAACTAACATTGCTCCTTTTAGGGGAGTGGATCGTAGTCTTTATGACTTTATGGAGTTCAATGAGCCTGCAAGTACGGCGACTTCACCCAGTCTCACTCCAAATGCGTGGTATGTTTCATTGGGGATACTGCATGAGAATAGAATTTTACCTGCCTAAAAGCACTGCCGTCAAAATTTCATGTTAAGAAAAATATGCCACCGAGTCAGGGTCCAAACATTTCTTAAAGCAGGTAGAATTTGATGGAAGGTGACGATGGCTGCGAGCGTCTGGACATTTTTCTTCGATGCCCAGACTCACAAAAGGATAGCAGATTGAAATCTGGGGACCCCATTCTGGGAGGCCTGGAGAGGATTTTGAAATCCTGTGAGCACAAAACGCGTGGTGGCAGACACTAATGCGTTCTCAGGAGCCTTGGGGGCCTTGGGATCTCGAGGCCTTTGGAGGCCCTAGGGCAGAAAAGTGTTTGTGGCAGCCATGAAAGCCCTTTGATGGGCCATGAGGCCCTGGCAGCCGCAGAATCTTGAAAGCACGTTATATCCTAGTGTTTGAAGCTTTGGCTCTTGCTTTTGCAACCGGAGAGTTGCGGTTCAATTCCTTGTGAAATCATAATAGGTGCATGCTCCACTGGCAGCTGCGGATATGTTTGTGGGATCGGAGTGAAAAAGGCTTTGGTGGCAGCTATCAATGCGTTCGGTCGGGACGTGTTGTCAAGGAGTGCGTTGCCATGGCAACTTTCAAAAGGTTCGACACGCGCTAGCAGCAGGCTGGCAAGCTTGATTAGCCCCAGAACTACCAAGAATTTTCCGCTGAGTGAGAGTCTCAAAAACTGTTTTCCTTGGATCCCACGCATAGTTTCTTGCCCCATCAGATTTCTTAAGATCATGTTCCAAAGCGGCTTGTATGGAAGGTGATCCCAACATGACGTCAGTTCAGGCATTGGAAGGAGCATGCTGTTTACGACATGGGTTTCTTTTTACCAAAAACAGCCTAATCCATCACCCTTTGCAAGCACCCACCCCCTTTTTGAGGGATCTGCTACCAAAGAAACAACGGTACAATACTGGGACTGTGTATCTTCAGGGAACCGGGGAGCTTTTCATTATTGATCATGGTAAGGGATGAAGTGCCCAACTTGGATCCTTCATGTTGTTGTTTGTGCGGGCTTGTGGCCTAGCCCAGGCTCATCCTTCCACCAGAGGAGGAGGAGTTCAGTGAGCCCAGTGCCTTGGTGGTTCCCAGTAGGTACCCCACAAAGCAGGATCCTCTGTTTGAGGACACGCAAGAAGTCGCATCTCAGAGTTTAAAGGTTTGGATAGTTTCTTTGGGAAAATATTCTTCCAGAGCTCTCCATAATCCCCTCCAAGTGGCTTTCTTTCTCGAGGTTCCAGAAGAGAAGCCGCATACAAGGTTCGTTTTGAACTGTACGATGCCCCAGCTCAGTAGTCCATGCATGGTGCGGGCATGAAAGCAACGGGGGCGTTTCGCCTGATGGAATCCACATGTATGATATTCGTAGCGAAGGCCTCATGGGAGTTTACCGCGCTAGGGATGCTTGATTCCCTGCTTGGAGGTTCACAGGCGCTTATAGTTCTAAGTAAGCAGGATAAACCTGTACAACCATGATTACTTACAACTTTCATCGCGGTATTTATTTCACTACTTGCAGCTACCCAGAAGCCTCCAAGTGTGTTCACCACGTTTGCCGCATTTCCGGCTTCAACTACTTGCAGACTTCAGCCAACAGCTCTCGGCACGCGTTTGTTTGAGAAGAGGGCTCAGGAACACGCGACCATGGCTAGAGGCTTGTGATATGTCATTTGGCAGATAGCACAAGTACTTGAGAAGTGGTGACCTCGTACGGGCAGATTGATGGGACTCAACCCATCCTCCACGGATCCCAGCAAAGGCATGATGCGCAGAATCATGAAGACGGCCTTCTTGAATTGCATCCAGCGCCGGCATATCAAGCTGCTTGGACAGGGTTTGGCTTCAGCGTTTCGGGCTCAGGATTTGGGTGTGCTCATGCTGGTTTGAGTTTAGGATTAGGATGTCAAATGTGGGCGTGGCATCTGTGGGCTTGACTTCGTTTCTATGCTTTGCATTAGTGAAAATTCCCTCGATTTCTGTGTTGGGCCATGCTGGCTCATGATCCCAGAGCCTTTGACATGATGATGTTTCTGCACTCGGCTTGCTCACGGTCTGTACAAGTGTAGGTACTGAGTAAAACTCCGGGTCCAATAACAATCTCATGGAGTGCCTGTTGCCGTACTCAAATTCACAACCCATGCACGGGCGCAATTTCCTGGTACTGAAAGTGAACGGGGAGAAGAATGCAGGGTTCGACTCAGCTGCTCAGGTCGCCCCCACGAATGTAGCATGTCATTTCAACAAGTGGGGGCTAGTGCCAGCCACAAACCAGAAGACTTCACTTACGCGCCTCACCATGAACCGATCTTGTGCGATGCTTAACAATCCACTTGGGGGGTTCTGTTGTCAAGTTTGCAGCCCGCAAAGCCAGAAAGCTCTAACAGAATCCCCCATGTCCTACTGCAGGCAGCACCAAAAGAGTATCGAAATCTTCGAGCAGGTTCTGATGGGGCTTGCAGAGATAGTTTCAGTCAAGTCATGGGAGCCTTAGGAGTTCCCTGCAGTGGCCCCCCCAAAGCCCAACCTTGCATCAGGATCTACTGGCACAGTTTGATAACTATATGGGTGGTTCTCAAAATTATGGTCCCTTTTTGGATCCCTATTATAATACGGCACCTAATATTTAGGGTACCCCAAAAGGGACCATGATTTTGACAACCACCCATATAGGACTGACATATGAATACGGCTCATGAAGTCAAATCGGATTTCCACTTGCCTTTGAAGGTGGATGAGGAGGTTTCGGGTTTAGGATTTAGAGTGTGACTGAGGTCTGGTGCGAGGCTTGGAGCTGTAGATTTCAGACAAAGATTCTTCGCGCTATTCCTTTGAGTGGTGTTTGAGCTTTGAAGATACCTGGCACGGATCTGAAGATGATTGCTGATCTGCAATTTCCACCGACGAGTTTTTCGCCCGAGATAGACACCCATGGTATGCATTGGCTGGCTCCCGGTTCCCAGGCTATGCAAACCCGTCACCCCACTTCGTCCTACGTCCTAGGTTACAACCAGACTCTGCAATCCTTATCCCCAGCCCGAGTGCATTTCCCAAGCTCCTAGCCTTGCGTTCAAGTCTGCCCAACGTCGAAGCTACCAATCCCTAACACGCTGACGCTGCGGCGCTATTATAAGAATAAGAATAGTACCAATAATAAGAATAGTAATAATAATGATGATAGTATACTGATAGTAAGACATGATGATAGTGCATTGCTGAAGATCTTACTCCAATCTAATTACCGCTTGCATCGCCAAGCAGAGGTTCTTACTCTTCAGGAGCCCATCCATCCTGATGTCTGTATGAGAAACCAACAGCCCACACATCCGCACTCAGAGCCCAATGAATTCAAAACTGTAAAGGCTTAATCCTCAAACTTAAACCCTAAACCCAAAACCCACAGCTTAACTACATCATCCACCCAACGCCAATACAAACTCCACCGCCTCAACCCAAATCTTCCGAAGCCGCGAACTCCTCATGTGCCTTCCCCAAACCTTTTCGACGCAGGCCCTGCTTCAACGGACCCTGCGTTTGGGCATTTAAAAAAAAGTTCATCCAGATTATGACCCAACGCCAACCTCAGAGTAGGACTGCCGCAAGCACTCCTGTTCTTTGTATACAGGGGTTATATAAACATGTATAGTGCTACATAAGGGCATATTATGGGGATATATTGGGATGTATAGGGTTGGATGGGGACATTGTACTAGGACGCTCTTGGAGCCAGGGCCCCCAAAGGTGATTCCCCAATGGCTTCGCGTCATCCAAACCCAAACCCCCCAAGGATCCAAAAAATGGACCCCCCCCAATATGAACCCATTACTACATTGGGGAAACTAGTGGATTATTAGGGGGCTCCATTTTTGGGATTCTTTAGGGGCTTTGGGAAGGCCTTTGCGACGATTAAGCAGTCAACCGGCATCTCCAACATCGAGGCAGGGCTGAATTTTTGTCCAGGTGCTTCCTTCATCTACTGTCGATGCAGGAAATCTTG